AATATTATGATTAAATGTGCAAAGAAAACTATTCCCAGGGGCAGTACCAAACACTATCGAGTGTTTCGATCTAAACACCTTAAGGAATTGAAAAGAAAGCGGGACATCCTTCGCAACACTGCTGATCAGACTCCCAGAAAGGAAGACGTACAAGCCTGGTGGCGACAATCAGCTGTCCTAAGGCAAGCCATCTTGCAAGCAAAACGGACTTCCTTCGACAAGTTCATCTCTAATATCAATTATCAAAGTGATCGCCAACGCACTTTCGAATTCCTATGTAACCTCCAAAACAACAGCGAAAGACCCAAGAAAGAACCAATACGTTTAAAAAACAAACTGCATACCGCCGTCTCCGAAATAGCTAACCACTTTGCAAGGTTCTATTCCCACAACCAAAAGAAAACCTTTTCGTCAAAAAATCTTCAAGAGATTTTAAGATATAAGTAAGACAGTTTGGTAAAATTAAGGAAGACATAGCAACACCAAATAATGTACTTACCGAACCATTCAGACCTTGCGAACTGAATGCTGCAATAAAACATCTCAAGTGCAAAATATCTCCTGGCGAAGACGGTATTCATCTAGAATTTCTAATTATAATGGGATCAAAAGCCAAGGAAACCAAGCTGACGCTTTACAACAAAATCTGGGAGACCAGTCTCGTACCTAAACAATGGAAGTTGTCATAGTAATACCAGTAATATAAATAGCAAGGACCATTGCAACGTATTGGCTAAACTCATGGGGAGAATAGTTAGCACAAGGCTGACCTGGTTCCTAAGGACCAATAATATCCTCAGGAGCGAACAAGCAGTTTTTTGTCCACAAAAGTTAAAAAGTTGTTCGTGATGCAAGAAGTACCCTTACGGCTGTTTCATCGATTTCAAATCAGTATATGACTTAATATGGAACGAGAAGCTAATTCTAAAATTGGGAAAGATTGATATTAAGCATAACATGCTAACTTGGGTGATGCTATTCACTAGACAAAGATCACGTTGATTCGGATATGGAAATGCTCTATCAAAATCCAATCTTTTTCCAGCAGACCTTCCACAAGGAGCCGTCACAAGGTGCACTTTTTTTCAATCTCTTCATCAATAACATAGCCGAATCTGTACGGAGTGTCACGACCATCAAGTGCTTATCTTATGCTGATTATCTTGTTCTATGGCATTCCGCCCCGAATAAACGCTCAGAAGAGGACTGAACGTGCCCTAAACATAATCAATGTCAACTGTCAATATTTTGGTTTTATGTTTTGACCCACTGCATCAATAGTTGAAATGAAATTGCAGTTATAATCGAATTAAGTCAACAGTTGCTTGTAAAGAATCGATATATGCAGAGTTGTCTAAAGTAGGTGAATTTTACCAATCTAAAGTGACTTAATTAATGACCCATTTTCATGCTTCTGTTTTGTAATAATAACTACTTTTAAATGACTCCACTGTTAAAAAAACGTACTTTTACAAGTAGCATTTCAAGTGATTTGATAGTTTTAATAATTAAGAATGCTCCTCAAATTATATATTTTAAATCGATTTTGTTGCGATCTATTCTAATGCGATTCGTAAGTTACTAATTGGCTTTGCCTGGATATTTTTGACAATGAACTATTTGATTCTTATTTTTTTGTTGCTTTGACCTCAAGGTCACATTGCCTTATTTAGCGTTTTATTTATCACTTGGAGTTTATTTGATCGCAACTTTAATCACAACTTTAATTGAAGAGCGTGGCAATTTTAAAATGATTAGGTCAAACCATAATGAAATTGGATTGTGCTCTGAATTAATTGCTTATTTATGGCAATTATGATTCCCTTAATTTTGCCACTTTCCTTCGGCAAAGATTTAAAAGGATTGTTTGAGTTGGTTAAAGTGATTGAATCAAACAAAATTAATGTTTGCTAATTAAAAACAACTTTTTAATTTTTAAATAGTTTTATATTAAAGTGGAATATGCAGGATTTATTTAAAAACTTCAAAATTAAATCAATGTCGACCAAGAGAAATATTATTCTGAAAATGTGTAGTATTGTCAATACAACGTTTTTGTATTTTGTATTTTGGAGTTCTATCTTTTCAGTCTAAAGTGTAGGACAAATTATTAATGTCGCGATTTTAGAACACACTAAATAAATTCAGTTCAACATTGGTGGAATTTATATCTTTGCTTAACTTATTAACCATTTTGTCAAGGCTTATATTTATAGCCAATCAAATATATTTTCTATTAGGTGATCATGCAGTTCAAACTTAATAAGAATCTTATATGTAATAAGCTTGAATATCAATAAATATTTTGAAATTAAAATTTTGATCTTGTGGCCATGAATGGGATGTAAAAGTTCCTATTTGCTTCTGATATAAATATATCATGACAAATGTAGCACCGCATTTGGAATTCGTAATTTTGAATAGCAATTAAGTAGAGATATGGAATTTCATGTTGCCTGATCATATTTCTTAGAGCTAATACTTTGAATTAGTTGAGAGCTAAATAGCCTAAACGAAGAACGTGTGCATCTGATAAGCGCACAAGATTACGTTTCAAAAAAATCATTTTACTCGAATTTCAAACTCTGAGAATCACCAATGAATTTCACCTTCGAAATGATGATTCGAAGCGTAAAATGTTGCTTGGGCGTAAAAATTAAGAATTACATTTAACCCATAAAATTGCATTTTGAAAGTTCATGCACCAATAATAATATAAGTTATTTCAATGCCTCTTATTTGAGCAAGTAGTGAAACCATGTGTTAAATGACCCAAATGACTGGTCCATTTGTATAAGTCAATAAATAAAAAAATTCTTGTATTTTTAGTTTTACTCGCGTCAACAAATAGGAAATAGGAATGATGCGATGACATTAAATTTATAAGCGAATACAATTTGAAAATTGTCTACATCAAATTATACAAAAGTGCAATTTGTTCATTTCTATTTTTTTTTCGTTTTATTATAATATTTTTAAATTTCCTTATTGCATTCACAAAAGCAAATCCAACAACAAAGAACATTCTGAAGCATATATATAATGCACTACCACTACTTATTCATTTAAGTATAAGTGAATATCAAATAATTAAAAATATACCCAATCCCCTCTTTTTTGATTCAATGGCTAAATTTTGAAGCGGTGCTTGGGTGACGGAAAATTGATTAAACCATTAATATAAACCTACTCTTTTGCAATGATTGACTAGCCCCATAAGCACTTTATACTTCAAGTGAGGATTTTAGGAGCATAATATTTGGTGGCATCGGTGCTTTCTTGATCGATTCACTCTCAGGAGTGCAGCCTTGAAATTAATCGGCTGCCGAATAGTCACCCAATAAAGTACCGTCACTCAAAGGCATGTTGAGGGTTTAGGATTCTTTCGCTTGAAGCTGTTGTATGTAATTTTCATTTCAATGACTTCATGAGATGGGTTCCAATGGTGTTAGCTAATTTCAACTTCTTATTTCAAAGGCATTTTCTTGAATAATCAATTATTCCATACAAATACGAGTCATTAAGTTCAAGTTTGAAAATTATCCTTCACGTACAAATAAGATCTTTAGCTTAGTGTTTAAAATGGTTCAAATTAAATCGGATGAACGTAGGTTGAAGGTTAGGAATTTCATCTGGATCGGGCATTACATGGTTTTGGAATTTGATTCACTAGTAGGGGTGGGGGGGGGCTATACTAAAGCTCTTATTTTGTTTCTTCAGGAACGCTAACCGTTCGGTCAGAAGAGCATTTGCATTACTATTCTTACTATTCAATTAAACATAGAGATTTGGAATTTACCTTGCCAGGAATGGCATCAAAAGTTTCCAAGACTTGAGGTTGGATACTCTGTAATTGTGAGCAATATTAAAACTCAAGCTTAATAACAGAGAATACTTATAATTATAATAGTAATTTTAAATGTATTTGGATCTCCAGGGGCGTAGTCGATAAGAAGAAAAATATTCTAAAAGTATGAATGAAATATTTAATTTATTTTACTATTAGATTACTTTCAAACACTAAGATATAGACCTTATTTGTGCGCGAAGAATTATTTTCAAGCAAGATTTTAATGACTCGTGTCAAATGGAATAAATTATTGATTAAGAATGTGACTTTGTAATAAGAAGTTGGAATTCTCTATCACCATCGTAATCCATCTCATGTGGTCATTGAAATGAAAATCACACGCAAACAGATTCAAGCAAAAATATTCTAAACCCTCATAAAGGTTTAGCACTATACTGTGTGTTTATTCGGCAGCCGATTTAATTTCAAGGCTGCACTCCTGAAACTAAAGTGTGAATGTTAAAACAGCGATGCCGCTAAAAATTATGCGCCCAAAATTCTCAATTGAATTATAATGTGCTATTTGAGTTAGTCAATATTTGCCAAAAATACAAAGATTATTTTTGAATACTTTTATCGTTTTTTCCAAAAACCAAGAATCACTTCAAAATGTAACCATTTGAGTCAAAAAATGGTGTTTGTGTATATTTGTAATTATTTGATATTCATTTACACTTAAGTGAATATGTAGTTGTAGGGCATTTTATATATGCTTCAGAATTCCCTTCGTTATTAAGTCTGGTTGTGTAACAGCATAAAAAATTTCGAAGCATAATAATGGAACGAAAAATATTATTATTATTTCAAATTCCAGGATTTATGATATTTATCATTAGCCCCTTAGTTGATTTCAGCTTTCCCCATGGGTAAGAAAATACATATATAGCCGTTCATTAGCTGACTTCTGTTTTCCCTGTGTCTTTGTGTTTCATCATTATCTTTATACCAGGACATCAAATCTGATTGGTCTTCTAAATTTCCCTTTGTATGGTTACATAAGGACATGTTATTTATGTGTTTTTTCCTAATCTATGAAGCCGCTGTGACAAGCGATCGTGTCCAAACTCATCAACGGCTTCAATTCCTGGCCAGTTGGTTATGTCAGAGAATGCCTATAGCTAATTTTTCTCTTTTGTTTAAGATTTAGGTCTTCATTGTGTGAAAAAACATCGACCCGTCTATGTCTTGAAAAACTGTTATCCCCTTCTTAGGAAGTGCGTCGGCAAGCTTATTGCCTTTAATGCCACAATGACCGGGAATTAATTGTAGGTCTACTGTTTTGTTTTTTTCTCACAGCAACGAATACAGTTTTACATTCGTATATCTTAGCTGTTTTGAGTGGCTCGTGGCTTCCGTTTAAGGATTGCTTGGTTTCCTACGTAAGACCATCAGTAAAGACTTAGAACCATTGATCTGCAGAATAGTTGACATTTATTGTTCCAAGTGCCAGTGAGCGCATTTGTTCTGGAGAGGTGTTTGCTTTTCTGAAGTGGTCAAGCAGTTGGTTGTAACATTCAACATCAATGTCTGCTAGTGGGTTAATCTTTGATTTTAATACATTTTCAACCAAACGTTCTTATTTTTATCATTATATTTCTTGACAATTTTCTGACATAAGGGATTTTCTTTTGCTTTTGGAATGGAATCTAGCAAAGAAGTTTACTATTTTGGAGTAGGTGGTATGCAGTTTGTTATTTAAGCTTATTTGTTCTTTCCAGGGTCTTTTGCTGTTGTGCGTTGGCTATCACTTGGGTATTTGAACTGAATTTATTGATAGATGTTCGGTTGTCTTCGCCGTCTCCAGGCTTGTATGTCTCATGTTCTTCCGGTCTGTGCAGCAATGTTGCGAAGGGCGTCTAACGTTTGTTTTCGATTGCTCGAGGCGTTCAGACCAAAACACTCGTTAGAGTTTAGTTTTGCCACGGGAATAGTTTTCTTTTCACATTGGATCATAATATTTGTGATTTCGTTGCAAAGTTTGTCAGGATGGTGGATGAAGTTGATTAGACTTGTGTGAAGTTCATTTTCTAAAAGGTTTTTAAATCTAGACCAGTCAGCCTTTCCTCTATTTATCTTTATGCTTAAACATTCTTTAAAGGAAATAGATATAATGATGATTTAGAAAAAATATTCTGAAATTAGAACTTAGCACTTAGTTTTGTTAAATTAAAAAATCATATCATGCAAAATTTTCATCGATTAAGCATTACATTTTTTCGAATATACTCGCATAAAGGCTAGCATGACTTGTGCTAATAGGCACTGGCAGATGCGATGGCAATTACATCATAAAGCGAATGAAGTCACCAATCCAGAGATATTTCGACCAATTAAAAATCAATATCTCTACGTTGATATCA